CTACTTACCCTCAAAGTTTGCACCAGCTCCAGTAACAATCAGTATTTGCACCTGTGCTGGGGGTTTTGCCCTAGAACGAAGTGCGCTCGCAGCGGCGCGGTCCGGAATTGTTCTGGCGTCGCCGACCTGGACTACGCGCGTCCCCTAGCGGTTACCGTGGACACTGCGCGCCTCGGTCCTCATTGCCTCCTGGGGGGAAAAAAATGGCAAGTGGCGGTGGAACAGTGAATTTTGTTTAGTGGCCGCAGCGCGCCCCGCCCCCCACCCCGGCGCTTTGGGGTGGGGGTCCGCAGATTTCTGGGCACGGGGTTCGGTTGTGTGTCCCAGGTCTACCTCCAGTCCCCGTTCCAGGCCTCTGAGCACTCTTGGCGGAGTCAAGACCAGTTTGGGAAGGCTGCGTGGCGCCAGGAGCAGTGTGGGGGAAGAAGGCAGGTGGAAAGGGGAAGACGGAGTCAGATAAATCTAGGACCTCCTCCCTGAATCTCTGCTTCCCCATCTGTGAAGTGGACATCTACCTCCTGGCAGCCAGGACTGCCCGTGGCCAGACTAGCATCCAGGCAGCCTTAGAGGGCTAGGACAGAGGCTGGGGCTCTCAGGACCATGCCAGTTCTCCGCATACTGCTCCTCTAAAGCCTTGGGAAACTCTTGGCTGGGGACACCCTTTACCTTTAACGTCTTGATTAGTATATAAAACATACTACTTGAGCATCATACCAAAAATAAATCTGAATTTCGACTCAGTGCTTCTAACCACTGCTTATTAAAAACGGTCTTCAGTTTTTCGCTGCTAAAAATGATTTCAGGATTCAAATTATTTCTATCATTGCTTTATCTTTTCTTATGTTTCAGGGGATAATTTGACTCCTAACAAAATCCAGTCTTTATATTAAGGGTTTTTCTTATCTGCTTAGGTTTTTAGGAAAATTGGGGAAACATATTTGCATTTCACCAACAGCTTATTTAAAGATGATTTAATCTGTTTAGTCTCCAGCTTTATTCCAAACCGGAATGGAGGCAGCAACAGTTTCTTGCCTAGTGATGTGGGTCAGGCAATGGAGGCAGGAGAGGTGGATCAGTCAGGGATGGTGAGGGGTGGCTGAAATTGTGACTGGGCCACAGGTAACCTTGGCTGTGTAGGTGAGCCCATGTATTCTATTTGAGGAGGGCTTCATCCTCTGGTTATCTACATGCACAGCTGGGTTCCACTGTGGTCTGAAGGAAGGTATGGTCCAGGGAGGCCATGTAAGGGCCTGGCTCTCTCATTTTATCTCAGCTCTCAGTACAGAGATTCACTTCCTACAGTCTCACAAATACTCTGAAGGGTCCAGGGTAAGAGAGGAGGGGACTGAGGGGGGCTCCTGGGTGGCTCAGTCAGTTGAGCATCCAACTCTTGATTTTGGTTTGGGTCATGATCTCACAGTTCATGGGTTGGAACCCTGAGTTGGGCTCAGCACTGACAGCTCCAGTGGGAGCCTACTTGAGATTCTCTCTTTCTCAGTCTCTCTCTCTCTCTCCCTTTCTCTGTGCCCCTCCCCTGCTCTCTTTCTCTCAAAATAAATAAGTAAACTTTAAAAAATTAAAAAAAAAAACTTTAAAAAAGGGAGGGGGGCATGAGATGCAAGGAATCAATAGAGAAGACCAGAATGGGGAGAATGTTGCCAAATGCCAATTTATTACCTTTATTTCCTGACCAAATTAGACTCTTTGATGTATGTGGTTCTCCCCTGCCTACCCCAAACTGGCTTATGGCCTCCCTAGAAGGTAAATAGGAGGGCCTTTAGAAAAGTTGGAGCACTCTGTAGTCTGAAGCATGTTTTCAGAGTCTCTGTCAGTTGTTGGAGGGGGAGTAGGTGGGCGGGGGGGGGGTCAGGGAGCGGTGTGGAGACTGAAAAGGAAGCCAGAGGGTTGCTTTGCCTTCCCTGGTTGCTCAATCATATGGTGATGTGAGTAAAACCCAAGAAGAAATACTCTCCTCTCCCCAGTGCCCTCCTTAAGGCTCTCCCTTGGTCATAATCTCCAAGTACTGATCCCTTTCCTAGAGTCCAACCCTGGAACAAAGAAGAAATGCAAAGGGCCACTAAATACTTGGCAATAAGGTCCGCTTCACTATGAATCAGAAAAGCAGTTAAGCTTGCAGTAGATATTGAGCAGTTTCGCAATTTTTAGATGTGTATAATCCAGCAATTCTGATTCTAGGAATGTATCTTAAGAAAATAGTTGAATGGATGTATCAAGTTAAACGTGTGAGGATATTTTTGAATCACTGATTATAAGAGAAGTCCCTCAGCAGGTGATTGGTTAATAAATTATGAAGCTTATCTAGGCTGGAATGTCATACACATCAAGGAGCTTAAGGAGCAGGCAGCCTCATCAACGCCCATGTGGTCCTGGCCTTGCCTCAGCCCCTAGCACCCCTGATATTCATGACCAGACCTCTAAGATCCCCTGCTATGGGAGTTGGGAGTGACCCAGAGAGAAGGACCAGGAGTGTTAGGGAGGTGGGCTGAGGCCTGGAAGGGAGCAGAGCACTGAACCAGCCGTTCCCCCAGAGAAGCACCATGCTGTGTGAGGTCTATTCAGAGAAGGCTACTTTGTAGGCAACCTTCTGTGGGTCTTGGTTCTTCTGGTTGACCAAATAAGTTGTGGGTCTTGCCCTCACTGAGTCTGGCTGAATTCCTGAATATCCTGGCAGCAAGAGGAAAAATGAAACGTTTCTGTCCAGGGGCACCTGGGTGGCTCAGTCGGTTAAGCGTCCTACTTTTGCTCAGGTCATGATCTCGCGGTTTGTGGGTTCGAGCCCCGCGTCGGGCTCTGCACTGTCAGCAAGCTCAGAGCCTGGGGCCTGCTTTGGATTCTGTATCTCCCTCTCTCTGACTCTCCCCTGCTCACACTGTCTCTCTCTCTCTCTCAGAAATAAATAAAACATTTAAAAAAAAGAAACATTTCTGTCCAGTGGTGCACCTGGACAAGAAATCTCAGTACCTGGGGCCTGTGTTGGATGCTGTTGTTTGGTGAACCAGGGACCCATCCTCACTTGCTCTCGCAACAATGCCAGTTTTTCTTTGCACAGCTCTTGTTTTCCTCTTCCAGGCTCTGGGGTTCAGATGAAGCTAGGTCTGCTCCTTGGTTCCAAAGGGATCTTGCCAGAGCCAGTGCCCAGGATTTCTAGCTGTACTGAGAAGAGTCTTCCTTCTCCTCAGGGTCACATGCAGAACTGGGGCCGCCTCTACCTCCACAGGGAGTTTAAGTACAAAGTATGGGCAGGGTGTGTGGAGCCATGAGGGAAAGTGCAGGAATCCAGTGTTAGCAGCAACTGAGCTGTCACCACATTTAGGCCAGGCAGGTGAGGAGAAGAAGGGGATCTGGGCCCCAGAAGGAGAGAGTCGTGTAGAGGAAGTTGCCTTGTTGGACAGACAGAGGTGAGAGTCTCCAAGGTTTGCTGAAACAAGAAGCCCAAGATGCAGTTGAGTGAGCAGGTCCACATAGCTGGAGGCAGGTGGTGAAGGCAGAGTGGGAAGAGATAATGTAGGGGAAGAGGAGGTCAGAATGGATTTTATTGTAAATGGCCATTGACTAAACGCCACCCTGGAGGATTTTAAATCAGAAGTCAGTGACCTGATTTCAGGTAGAGAGATGCATTGTATACTGGGACATAAATGGAAGCAGGCAATTGAGCCCTTAGGAAGCTATTGTGGAGGAGGAGGTGGGGGCTTAGATGAGGGGCTGGGCAGTGGAGGAGAGTGAAGGTGGGATTCAGGTGCACAGACACAAGTGAAAGGGGGAAGGGGTTTGTGGTGCAAAGTCCTATGACCTTGGCTTCTCCACTTCTCTGAGCCTCAGCTTCCTCTTCCAAACAGAGACACTGCCCGTCTCACAATGGTAAGTTTGACAAACGTTGTGGCTGAGAGTATTGCTTTTGTCAGATTTGGATTTGAATCTCAGGTAGGTACCAGCTGGGTGACCTTCTGTAAGTCAGTTAATGATAGATTATAGTATTTACTGAGCCCCTGCTATGTGTTAACCAATAGAATCTTCCCCAGGCTAGCATATTTTTCTTATTTCAGTTTACAGGGGGCAGGAACAGTAACACGGAGAGAGCAAGTCATTTATTGGAGGTCCCAGCCAGGAATTTTCTAACCATCACGTTACCCTAACTTTTCTGCGCCCCAAAGTGAGATAACAATACTGACACTTACCTGTGTTGTTGGAAGGATTCAAGAAGCAGCCTGGCATCTGAGCTACCGTGTGGAGCCTATTTCGGATTCTCCGTCTCCCTCTCTTTCTGCCCTTCCCCTGCTCTCTCTCTCTTTCGAAAATAAACATTAAAAAAAAGAGGCCTGGCAAATAGGTGCGGATTAAATTGTTATTAGAACCATTATTATTAATTTTTTTGTACTTTTCCGATTTTTTGCTGGGCGCAGGCATCACCTGGACAAATCCTTTGTATTAAAAAACAGACCTGCCGGGGCGCCTGGGTGGCTTAGTCGGTTAAGCGTCCGACTTTCGCTTAGGTCATGATCTCTCGGTTCGTGGGTTCGAGCCCCTCGTGGGGCTCTGTGCTGACTGTCAGCTCAGAGCCTGGAGCTTGTTTCTGTCTGTGACTCCCTCTCTCTCTGACCCTCCCCTGCTCACGCTGTCTCTCTCTCTCTCCTAGAAATAAATAAAAAAACAACAACAACAAAACCCAGATCTGCCAGGTGAGGGGGAAAGAACTGCAGCTGCTGGCTTCTCGACGGAGACTCGGGATGTGACCGTAGGGGGCGTGGCTACGGAGCGAGGTGGGGCTAAGAGGAAAGGCTGGGCTCCAGGGGCGGGGCCAGGACGCGAAAGTAGAGGCTGGGGGCGGGGCCCGGAGAGAAGGGGCAGGACTCGGGCGGGTGGCGCATGCTCGTTGGTGCGGCCAGCTCCGCCGCCGCCGCCAGCGCCACCGCCCACTTGGGGCTGGCCAGAGGCAGGCAGCCGGGGTGCAGAGTAGGGTAGGGCTGGGCAAGCGCACGGCCATGGCCCCGTGGCTGCAGCTCTGCTCCGTCTTCTTCACGGTCAACGCCTGCCTCAACGGCTCGCAGCTGGCCGTGGCCGCGGGCGGCTCCAGCAGAGCGCGGGGCGCCGACACCTGCGGCTGGAGGGTAAGGAGAAACTTCTCGCCGTCCCCAAAAGCGCGGCGGGCGCGATGCGCACAGGTGCTCGCGGCCAGCTGAACCGGTGCAGACGTGCCTGCCCTTCGCAGAGTCAGCGGCAGGGCTGGGATCCCCGCTGCTCCCGCCCTTCTTCTTTCCCTCCCGGGGCGTACGTCCTCCAGCCCCCGCCCGGATGAAAGGGGCCGCCCGACCCCCGGCTTTGTGTTGCTAATGAGGCGCGGTCACTGGCTGGGGTCCGGCTCTCAGAAGGCGGGTGAGAAGGGCGTCCCGCGGCGGGCGGGAGAAGGGCGCCCCACCCTTTGTTCCCGGACCAGTACCTCCTTCGCCCCGGGGCTGGGTTCCTCCGAGCTGTCTGGGCTGGGGGCACTTTGGAACCGGAGTGGGGCTCTCCCCGCGGACCTCCGCTTCACAACTCTGCAAAGGCCCAGGACTGCCAGAGAGGGGACCCAGAGCACAGGGGAGGGATGCGCCCCCTCTCGCGGCCACATTGTTCCCTCTAGGCTAGGCGGTCTTACCCGACTTTCACCCCAGCCCCAACTCCTGACTTGCTGGGAAATTTTCCTCTGCTGTTCTGTCCTTCGTCTAGAGAATGGTCTCACGGATAACCTAAACCCCCATTCCCCGTCCCCAGCTTATCCTACGGATATTTTTCTAGGCCAAAGGGAGGCATGAGTTTGTCACCTCGATCAGGAGCCCCAGAGGAGACTAGAGAGGTGCACAGACTTCGCCTTGTGTTCGGAGACTTCTCCCTGTAACCGAGCACTTTGATGCTGTCCCGGTGGCGCGCGTGGGGTGGTGGGCAGTGTGCGCGTGGATGCCGAGATCCCATGTCCCTTACCAGGATTCCTGGGCTTGGGCGGCTCCAGGACAGGGAGACTGCATCTATCTGCCCCCCTCACCTCCCACTGAAGCCAGGGCGGCTGGTCGTCAGGGCACTCAAGGCCTTCAGCCTTGTGGAGAGGACGTGGGCTTTGCACTCAGGCAGCCACGAACATGACCTTGTCTCTGCTTCAGAGCTCCAGTTTCTTCATTTCGAAAATGGGTATAAATGGAGATTTCCTAGTTATCCCAGGACTGTTTCTCCATGAGATGGATCATTTACTTAGAACAACATTGTGCCACCTCTTCTGGGATGTTCTGAATGGCCTCAGAGCAGTCCAGGCCTATGACCTGGCACTCCTTAAGGATCTTATGCTGGTACTTCCAGCTCTTTGGCCCCATGTTCAGAGAAACACAGTGCAGAAAACCGAGGATGAGGCATGCAGCTGGGATATCTTTCAAACCCAATAGCCTCACTATAGACAGCTATAATACACCCTCCCACCACATCATAGTGAATATAGCCTTCCTTTTGGGTAAAACATCACCTTTTCTTACTCTGTCCCATTTTAGTAAAATATCACTATTACTATTTTTTAAAGATACTGAGTTTTTCCCAGTTTTTAGATCAAAAACTTAAGTCTATCTCATTGACTTATTAATCCTGATAAACTAAAATTTTTTTTAATTAATTTATTTTGATAGAGCATTTGTGAATGGGTAAGGGCAGAGAGAGAGGGAAAGAGATTTCCCAGCAGGCTCCACACTGACACAGCCCAATGCTGGGCTTGAACTCACCAACTGTGAGATCATGACCTGAGTCGAAATCAAGAGTCTGATGCTTATCCGACTGAGCCCCCAGGTGCCCAAAATTCTGTTAAACTTTTTGGATCTAAACAGGTATGTTGGGTTTTGAAGAACTGTAGGAGCATCACATGCATTTTATTCTGAGTTTTCATATGACCGCATAGGTGGATCAGTCCTAATTGCTGTTTTTCTGCATTGTCTAGGTGGCTTTGTGTGTCCATGCACAAAGCTTGCGAAGTTTTAATGCTTTGGGTATAATAGCAACCCAAAGGAGCCAAGCTGGTGGTTTTGTTCTCTCTGCCTGTGGGAATGTGTTTATGTCTCCTAATTGGATCCCCCCCCCCCAATTAATAGTAGTCCTTGGTCCATCAGGCTCACACTCAGGCTGACCTCTTTTCTCCCACCACAACCCCTAGTTGGAGGTGACCTTCTCAACAGCTTTTACCTTGGTCCCACTAGTCCTCTCCTTGGGTCATTTTCATCCCTTTTTGAATGTGCGTTGAAGTCTCTGGACCATCTCCCAGATTCCACACTCTTTCCAACCTGATACATGGCTTCTTCCCTCCTGGACTTGCCTTTTGGTGCATGTGATGGAGTCACCATCTCTCCCCAACCCCTCTTGCCTACCTGTCTTGCATACCCACCTTTCCAGCCTGCTCCTAACTTTTGTGCCAGTGTAAAAGTGCTGAAGCATGCTTTCTCTGTGCCTATTATGCCTTTTTCTCCCTCTCCCCCCACCAGAAGAATCTTCTGCTTGGCCAAAGACTCAGCTCAGGTGATAGCATCTCAGGGGAGCCCTCCCTAAATGCCATTTCCCTTGGTTTGCTTTCTCATGCAGGTCCTTGCACTTTGGTTCCCACCAGACTACTTTGTCAATATTTGTTCACATCTGTGTCTTAGGACACAGACACCTCATCTTGGTGGCCTCAAATCCTGGAGCCCTGTAAATCTTGGCTGAGCCCGGTTAGACCCTGCAGCCTTCCTGTTAAATCCTGTATTAAGTGATCGATTTTAGGAAGTGGGTTGGAGAGATGAGACCACTGATCTCCAGTGTCCCCTCCTCAGCATGCCTTTGCACATGCTTTTCCCATCTGTGTTCCTTTTTTTTTACATCTCAGCCTCCCTTGTCTCCTCCAGCAGCACTTCTTGCGGGAAGCCTTCCCTGCCCCCACCTCCCTGCATCAGTTCTTCCAAAAGTTGCTGTCAGAGGACTGGCCAGTGAATACTGGTTGGTGTACAGTGGTGTGGGCATTTGATTCAGGTCTGAGTCCCCTACCGATAGGGGTGTTTAGCCCATAGATGTTGGTCTCAGTTCTGAGGTTGCTTACAGTCTAGTTGAGGCCATACAGACATAAAAGAAGGGTCGGTTGTGTGTGAGGCAAACAGGAGACAGTTTCCTGTGGGTCTAGGTCACATGGAACCTGAGCGTGGGAACAGCAGGGTGGAGAAGTGAGCCCTGAAGGAGGGTCAGGATCGGGATGCTGCCGAGGAACTGAGCAAATGACTCCCTTGATCTCCATGGAGCATTTGTTCCACGAACTCTTGCCCCTGCAGGAATGTGTATTTTCCCAGGACTTACAAGGTAGACCGCAGCCAGCTAACCCTCAGGAGCTCTGCTAACACATCTCTCTGAGGAGCTGGCCTGCTTTAAGTGGTCAGATTTCACAACCTCCCCATTATTAGTGGGACAATTAAGGGGCCGATACCATCTTGAACACAGCTCAGTGTTTTAGAAATGAGTTGTGGGCACACTTCCTCTACTACTTAAAAAAAAAAAATCTCTTAGGGCCCTTGCCAGGTAAAGTTGCTCTTGGAGTAATATATAGTTTTCCCAAAGAAGTAACAATTTCTAAAGCTTCCAGAGGGGCTGGGCATCCTCATTTATACTGGGTCTTAACTCTTGCTTCTTGATGGTGGAGTGATTGTGTTTGTGATGGGTAGCTTTATATCAATCAGTTGCTTTGAGGTTTCCCCCCTCCCTTGTCTGGCTGGTTGTTTGAAAAGCATTTATGGAACAAAGAATTAGGCATCAGCTTCCACAGGTTTTTACTTAGTGGCGTTTTCTGCAGGGGAGAAGGAGGGAGCAAGAAATGCCTTCCTGTCTAGGAGAGGTACATCTTCTCTAGTCTTTTATCTCTGAAACAAACGTCTACCCTGCAAAAAGCCTGCTCCTTCAGGAATTCAGGAAGCCAGAATGCTGGCATCGTCTTGACAATGAAGTGCAAGTTTCCCATTTAAGGCAAATAACTTCATTTCGAAAGGTAGGAAGGAATAGGGTGGTACTTGGAAAAGAAGTTCCAGCTGGTTAAAATTTAGGTCCTGATAAAAGTCCAATCCACGAACTCTCCTTGGCTGTGGGCCCAGGCATGTTTATTTGATTCTGAATTGGATGCGTTTTCATTCACTTGAAGCTCATGGCTCCCTAGCCTGCATCTGGTCTGCCTGTCTTGTGGCCTTGTCTTCCATGTTATACATGCTCTTGTGTCTCATACAGAATTCTTGGTTAAAAAGGACTCAGCCCTGGTTGACACATTCTTCAGAGAGACATTTTTATAAGAACTGCAGTGCTCTCCTCTGGCTTGTTTTGCCATGTTAATTGGGAATTCTTTCAACCCAAGTCCACCTCTCTTGAACACCCCTCCCTTCTCTCCCCCCATCCATCCCACTGAACCCCCCCCCCCCAGCCCCTGCAGTGCCTGGGGCATTGTGCTAGTTAGTAACAAGGGGATACAGCTGGGTGAATGAGAACAGCAAGTAAGTACCAGCTGTGGACTCTTTCCCTCTGAACACAAGTTCTCAAAGTGAAGTCCGGGAGCTTCCACAATCAGGCTATCCTGATTGCCTGGGAGCTTGTTAAAATGCAGATTCAAGGCTAATGCATCCAGGATGGGTATGAGATGGGGGTTCGAGTCTCTCTGATGCCCTCTGAATGATGAGAGCCATTGCTTTAGGAAGACCGGGCTTTCCTGGGCCAGAGAACAGAGAGAGAAGCCACATTCTAAACATTTAAAATCAGAGTTTGACTTTAAAGTACTTCCCTGGACTTAGAGAGGAAGTGGAGACTATCAGAGCCCTGTCCAGTGAAAAGCGTCAGGCTGGCTGAGGGGCTCCTGGTTTGAGTGGGTGCCTTTAGCCTGGGGTTGAAGGGGAGACCACGAGTGAAAGGGACCCTAACGCTTTGGGTTCCTCCCCAGAACAGCCGGTCTTGTCTGGAAAACAGCAAAGAGTAGGGTAGGATCCAAATAGTTCAAACCTTACAGCGTCCCTACAAAGGAAAGTACGGCTAATGCTTTTGTAAGTCTTTATTTTAAGTTGAGTATTTTTCATGCTTCATTTGACCTAAAATGTGTGTGTGGGTTTAA